TTCTTAGTTTGGGTCGTAAGCGTAGTGTGCCGCACAGCAATCGCTGGTCACCCATGTCTTTCCCGTCTTCAGTGATGGACGTGGCAGGGCCCAGTGATATCCGCCGCAGCGCTTTTTGAGATCCAGTGCATGAGTCGAGATCGTTTTCCTGTGTATGTCTCGCTTGCAGCGAGAGGGGGAGCGCAGATGTAGACTGAAGTGGAGAAGGACTCCATGTGAACAGGACGTAGGCTGAAGTGGAGAAAGCTCCATGTGAACAGCTCTGCGAAGGTCCTGGCCCCAGCGCAAGGATGACACGCAACTTGGGGGCTCTGCATTTGGCTCAAGAAAAAGAGCCGGTCCTGGGTTTGGGTTTCTCTTCAGGGCTCTTCGGGGAGGGTCGTTCTCTCGTGGGTTCTTGAGGCTTCTGAGTCCGTAGCTAGTTACTTCGGTGTAGCGGTGCCCCGGCTAGGTCCAAGGTCCCCTTTGTTAAGCCGGCCCTGAACTAGCGACTTCTACTGAGATGAAGGCCAAAATGAGTGGGAGCACGATTTCCGCCCAAAGACACTCCCAAAACACGTACACGGAACAGCAGGATTGTGGAAACACCAGCAATTTGGTTCAAAACGCTGATCGTCACCTGTCACCAGCCTGTTTGGAGGGATGTGCAACTTATCGTGACCAGGATTATCGGTTTGGCGTCTTTGCTTAGGATTTAAGATGATAAGGGCTCGGGTCAATGTAGGGGCCTCAAAAGTTAGAAAAGGTTTCTGTAGTTTTGTTTTAAAGTGTTCCGCGCAAGGAACACTCAGGGTTTTCATGGTGTAGGGTTGCAGCACTTAGCGGTATAGGTTTAGGATTAGTGTCGGAACGCTCTTGAAGCTCATACATGGGCCGACTATGAACCTATGCTTCTCTCTAGAACAAGAGAGCTTGCACGAGAAATGCTGCATCTGCAAAATCACCCGGCCGATCCATGTCAGACCTGTTGGATGTACGTAACCTAGAGGCCTTGATGATTAGAATAGGGTTTTGGGGCCCCCATGATACTATAACTATCATTGGGAACCCCCAAAATAGTATCGGCAATTATCAAGGCTCCTTTTTTATGCTCTTATCCTGAAAACGAAATCCCCAACGCCTCTCCGAAACCCGAGGGTTCGGAAAGGTTGAGCAGAATGTAGCGGGGTGTCCTCCCTTCTCTCTTCTATAATCGGGCTACTACTAAGGGCATTATATATCTATAGTATGAATACTACTATGAAGGGCTCTGTTCATGTAGGAATGGATGGCCCTGATATGTAGTTTTTTTGGAAGTGCCCGCAAAAGAAAGTTTCAATGCCCTCATGCAATATGAGTCAGTAGCGTATGTACTGTAAAGGCCTTGATACATGGAATTAGGTCTTGGGGGTAGATTGTACCCTACTTATGCCTCCTAGAGTCTTTAAAGCTTTAGGGCTTAGGGGTTTAGGGTTACCACTTGTCCAGGTTACCCAACAATTCCACCCTTTTGTCCTGTTTTCAGTTTTAGCAAAGAGACCCCCACCCCAAATTTCAGTGACATGATTGATTTACAAGATGCCATCGGTTGCCGAGCTTATGGTTCAGGGACCTAGGCTTTGCTTGACTAGTCCAGTTAGCAAACGGTTTGGGTGACTCAGGCGCTTGCGAAACCTGGAGACTCCAACATCTCTTAATTAAGGAATATGCCATACATCATATTTGGGATCTTACCATAATCTAAGGCATCTAAGGTATATGCCCTAAATCAGAGATATTGGAGGCTCTGGGAACGAATCTGCTTGCACGCGATGTTGCGGTCACTGGCACGGGCGGCACTCTCCTTTTCCACGCAGCGTAGCAGCCAAGTTTCTGCAATCAGGGCCGTAAGCCCGTAACACCCCCTAAACCCTGAACCTTTTGGAAAGCAGGGGACCCTAATATAGCACCCTAATTAGTAGGATCCTTATTATAAGGACCCCAAAATAATGTCGCCTTCGTGCCTACCAGCAGGTTCCGCAGTAATTCCACCAAAAGTGCCATGTTTGCTGTTTCTTCAACTTTACTTCAATAAGGGGACACCGAAACGAAAACCTAGATCACCGTGTTGTTTACCCCAAAACCCGTACCCTACGCCCTACCGTATTGCTAAAACCGCTCCGCAGAAAAGATAACCTTTTGAAGTGCAGTAGGTTGTAGTTACCCGGACCCCGAGGAGATCTAAAGGCAAGAAGCCCGTCCAATTGGGTGTCCTACCAGTGCAGGCCCTAAACCCTAAACCCAAAACTCATTACTTGCAGCAAAAAACGCTTGCATGCCCTACAGAAGCTCTTCAAGATAATTGGGGTTACGCTACTTGCAAGTATATCAGGTAATTACTTACTAAGTCCCCCGACCCTCCAAGAACGAACTGTGTCAAGCGCTGCCCCCTAAACCCTAAACCCTTAAACCCCTACACTCTAAACCCCTAAATCCTAAGCCCCAAACCCCTAAACTCCAAACCCCTAAACTCTAAACCCCTGAACTCTACACACCTGAATCCTGAACCACAAAACCCTAAACCCCATAAACCCGCATCTCACTTCTTTTTGGAGACCTGCAGTTCTCAAGGCTCCGGCTTGGCTACTTACGTCCCAAAGCCCTAGAGAAGCCATTCGCATCCCAGACAACCCGGGAGGATCCAAAAAGTAGATCCCTTGAAAGGGGGTTCCTATAAAGTACCCTTAGTAGTATCGGGCCACACATTAGGGGATCTACTTTCCAGATCCTCCCGCAGTCTGGGATTATGGCAAGGTATACGGGATACTACTCATGTAGAACCGAGTAGTAAGCCAACAAGGACAGCCTTACTCTTGAGGGGCTACTGGTGAGCCTCGATGTTTGCTTTCGTGGGGTCATGCATGCAAGGAGTTGAAAGCACCATAAACCAAACCCTTGTAAACCCTGGTACATTCATATTTTTGTATATATGTATAGATGGATATGGGTATGTAGATATACAACAATATATATATATATATATATATATACACACACATATACACACACACACGTATACATATATACATATATATATATATATGTGCATGTATGTATGTATATATATATAAATATGTATACATCTATGTATATATTACTGATATGTACATATACGACCTTTAAGAGAACCTTAATGTTTGTTTTCGTAGAGTCTTCAGAAAACTCACGTCTCGGGGGAAAGGCTCAGCTTGGAGGTCGCTATGCAGCCCAGCACACAAGAACCGAGACTGGGTATCGATTTCAGCAGCCCCCAAAATTGTGTTATAGTTAAGGGCTCTATACTAAGCGATAAGGGACCGTAAGAACTATCCCAAATCGACACCTAAACAAAAACAAAAACGAGGTGTCGATGTCAGCAGACCCCAATATTCTGCTTTGACTTATAATGAAGGGCTTTATACTAAACAACAACTTATAGTGACGGGCTTTATACTAAACAGCAACTTGGAATGAAGAGCTCCCTACCAAACAATAATGGGTAATGAAAGGCCCTACACTAAGCAATAAGGGACATTCAATTAAAAACTATGCCAAGTCGATACCTAGGAGGGTCAAGCACAGAAGCACAAGCCGCGGTGTAAGCTGTCGTCTCGTCAAAGCAACTCGAGATGTTCACATGATTCAGGCTTGCATTATTTTGCCAACATCCGGTAATAACCCCCATCAAACATCCTCAGGAGCTCTATGTACACTCAGCAACATCCGTAATTTAAACCCTACGTCACATCCAGCAGGATCCACGTACGAGTCACGGCTTCAGGTCAAGGTTTTGACAATGGGGTTTCGAGCTTCATGTTTAGGGCTTGGGCACCTTTTCGGGCGTCAGTAAACGGCCAGAACAAGATTAGCGCCCAGGTCCGACAGGCAAAACCTTCAACTTTAAATCCTAAACCTCCTACACCTATACCTTCGGGCCTAACCTTAAACCGTAACCCCTTAACCTTAACTTCGTGCTGCTAAGCGGAACCCTTAGCCACGCACGAAACTAGCAAGACGAAGCACTGATCGTCAAGTTCAAGCTTAAGGGCTAATTGGGAGTTTTTAAGGCTTAAGGCTAAGGAATCACTCCAGAACCAAGGACTGTAATATCCACGCAGATATAAGTTTTTGTCGCTGAAGCTTTCAGACTGATGCTGGGCAAGAGAACAACCTAAGCACATAAGTCTCTGAGATCAAACGAGACAAGACACTCCTAATCCTAAGCCGTAACAACACCCTGGAGCCCTAACGAAAGAAAGCACAGGACGCGCCTTGTCCCGTTTCTTCTCCTCTGCCTTTTCGGCTTTGGCCTCCGGCTTTAAGACTTCCCTAAGAGTTCTGAACGGTTCTAAAAGGGTTCCTTTAAGGGTTTAGGGTTTAGGGTTCCTTTAGGGTTCCTTATCATGGGATCTATATTTATATAAGGGCTTGGACCCCGAACCTGATTCTTTTCCGACCCCTATACTAGGCTACAGTATCCTTTTTTGAGAACCATCAAACAAAAGTATATTTCCTTCAGAATCCTTAACCTACGGGATGATCGTGGCTTCAGGACTCTAGGGTTTTAGGGATTCAGGATTCGGGTTTCAGGGTCTCAAGGTTTAGAATAGGATCAAGAAGACAAGAAGATCTAGAGTTTGTAAGTCGCTCGTCGACGCTACTGAAGACGACTTTCAAGGACGCTAATGTAGGGGCCTCCTTTCTAGGACACTCTTTTTGGGGGCCTTACTAAGTAGACTAGGGTTTTGGGGGTATATTATAGTAGAACTATAAAGGCCCCTACATCATGGGTGGGATCGACGGCTCAGCATACAGGCCTAACCCAAAAGGGTTTAGGGTTCTGGGTTCGGGGTACCCTGAAACCGCTACAGCCCTTCCGCAAGGAAGGGAGGATCCTGAGACGATCAGGACTATGTTCTATATTGTGTTTCAAGCGGAAGGGGGGAATCCTACTTGGAGGGCGTACTTACCCAAACCTCGGACCCTAATATGAACAGTACTTGTTACCTTTCAGTTTGGCCAATCTCGAGCCCCACCTTGTCTCGAGCTGTGAGCTGGCGCACGACAAGGAATACCACATAGCTGACTGCAGCAACCTCGGTGACCGGTTCCGAAGTTTCGGGGTTTAGGGCTTACTGCTGCTGCTGCAACTACTACTACTACTACTACTACTACTACTGCTACTACTACTACTACTACTACTACTACTACTACTACTCCTGGTACTACTTCTACTACTACTACTACTACTCCTGCTACTCCTGCTACTACTGCTACTACTACTACTACTACCACCACGACTACGACGACGACGATGACGACGACTACTACCAAAAGCCTAAACCAACACCCGAGGCCCCAGGCCCCAAGATCACAAAAACACAAGCCCTGCTGATAAGATGTAAGGGCATTAATAATTGGAATCGGGTCATGCGGTATTTTATACGATAGAGTAATACTGTTAATCTGTCGGCCCCTACTATGTTCACTCCCAGTAGCCCTAAACCCCCAGCCCAACCGACCGTGCAGTGTAAACTGAAACCCGGCCCGCACGAAAGAGAGACCCTTGTGATTACAATACAGGTGCTGAATATTTAGAAGACGGTATTCAGGTAAATCATCTAGTCTTACTACAAAAGCCTAAGGGCCTAATTAACAATTCTCGCTATTCAGGCTTCTAATATATCTTCATCCTAAAAGCCAAACCTCAAGGCGCGTGAGTACTTGGACCCTAAGGCTCTCCCCGTCCCAGACCGTGTGTTTTTATGGTTTAGGCTCAGGGTGTTACGGTCCCAGAGCCCAAAAGCAGAACCCCTAATGTGCTTTTCAGATCCTCTCGGAGGGCTGGGATTTTAGGTCCTTCAGCGATTTTCAGGCTTACTTATGGTGAACCCCAGCAAGTTGGAACATGGACTAGGGATGATGAGTGCTAGGATTCCTTATGCTATTCCTTCAGGGTATGAGGATAATGATGTTCCAACTTTCTGGCTTCTAAGTCTACTGCTAAGCCTAGGGTTTGCGACGGCCTGGGATCCCACGCCACACCGACCATGTAGAGGAGCTGCAATGCAAGAGGGACTCGGTGCACCTGTTGTGGGCCGTAGTGTTGGGACTCTGGGTTTAAGGTAGCCAGTGAGGAAATAGCAAACAAGGCGTGAGGGTGCCATTTTGGGCGTTCTATGTTTTCTGCATGCCTCGACACATGTGAAGATAAGCCTCGGAGCTTTAGGTTTACTTTCAATGTTTTGACGGCGTTTAGTACAGGAAAAGCTTCACACCCTAGCACTAAACACTTAAAGTTTGCCTACTCAGCTACTCAGCAGGAGTCCTGAACGCATGATAACCCCTTTATACCTGAGGACTGTTGCAGAAGCCTTTTTCGATCCTCTTTAGATGCCAGCCTAAACCTTACAACCCAAAAAAAACTTCCCAGATGCTTTTGAATTATTTAGGCTCCTACATCATAGCAGCCTACAGCGGGTATTCTAACCGTTGAAGGAGCCGCCTTTTGAGAGCCTTAAATCCCCTTAACTCCAAGGGTAAAAGGAGGGACCCTTAATAGGGACCCCTGGGTATATACCCTTAATATAGCTGTTATATACTCAATATATAGCCCATTATAGGGTAGGGGTCCCCATTAAGGGTCCCTCCTTTTCCCCTTTGATTAACCCCTCAAACCCTAGACCTCCCTAAGCCTCAAAACCCCTTTTTGACATCCCTGAAGCCTTAAATCCCTAAACCCACAAACCCCCCAAACCTCCCCAAGCCCTGAACCCCTGAAACCCCGAAGCCCCTACAAGCCCTAAAGTCGTTCTTGGGCTCTATGTTACACAACAGGGGGCATTAAGAACAATCCCAAATCGATAACCGGAATAGTTCTAAGAACCCCTTCATGCCCGAAAGCCTCTTTGCTTAAGGTCTAAACCCTACAAACCCTGAACCCCCTAAGCCTTAAGAGTTATGCTTAACCCCACTCTTAGGCCGTATAGTAGCCCTTACAGCAGCCAACCAAAGCCGCTTTTCTTAGGGTCCCTTATAGTTCTAGTATGATGCACCGCCAAAACTCGAGTGTAATTCTTAAGGCCCCGATATTGAACTCCCTAAAGCCTCCTTTTAGGGTCCTAAACCCACTATAACTAATACAATTTATTTAGGCCCCTAATGTAGGAACCTGATTAAGAAACCTTGGGTCTTTATTATGGCTCCTTATATGGATCCTTATAGTTTTGGGGTATGGGACCAGGGTTTTTTAAAATCAGGTTCCTACAGTACTCTAAGGCTATAGGTACTTATTAACCCTACACCCTAAACCCCTAAAGCTTATAGATATAGTACCCTTATAGATCCCTTATAGTACCCTTCTAGATGCCTTATAGGTCCTACAGTAACCATCGCCTTTTGCGGGCCCCCTTGGCGGCCTGAACTCCCATGATCGACGGGGCTTCGGAGTTGGAAGCCTCACAGGCGCAGCATTCGCCCAGCACAAAAAGGGGGTTAGGGCCTCTTAAGGCCTTTAAAATTACCGAAAAAGCCTTGTGATTTAGGTTTAGGCTTTAGGGGTTGTAAGGCAGTTTAGGGCTTAGTTGCTTGTATGGGTTGTTGGCAAAAACTGTTGTGAGCTTTCTTGAGGAATTCTCAAAGGTTTTGCGGTGGAAGCTACATGCACCGCCATTTGCTCTACCGCCTCACCTGCGTTCGACCGGCACAGGGGGGGAAAAGCTTACACCCGGTTGCCCTACGTGCGGTAAGTAAATTAGCTTTGGGGTTTAGGTTTAGGGAGGTATCTTAGTAAGGAGCATTCAAGGCTCTGTGGGGCGCAGGGCTTGTGGGCTTTCGGGGTGTAGGAGCTTCGCACCATGTCTGGGAGTAAGAGTTGGGACTACTCTCTCACAAGCCTTGCACTGCGTAGGCTTTAGGACGAGAGATTTTGAGAGATGGTTCCCGACCGCAGGCAAAGCAAATCGATGCGGCAAACCGCCACGTATGCTCACTTTTTGCACTGGTGCTAGTATCCCTCGGCTACTTATATAGTATATGACACATGATATGCTATACTCTACTTTAAACTTTTTTGTATTATATCTTTTTTGTAATACATATATACAAAGCTTTAATAAGAAGACTGCAAATCATGTTCATCCTCAAGTGTAGGAGCACTGGCTAACACGATGAATCGCCTCAACATGCTTCCTACTGAAAGCGGTTCTAGTGCGGATCATAGAGCTCCAACTGATTAAAATTAGGTCAGAATTAAACAAAATGATGCGTTCAAGACAGTAGCCAGTGTACGTCTGATGGCAGGAAACAATCCGGCACTAATATAATATAGGGACCTTGATAATATGAACAGGGATTACGATAATAATGGGGAAGCCCCCAAGATAGTGTAGGTCATTTTCCAAGCCCCTACATGAATCGATTTCCCATCTCATTCACAAAGGTACCTGGGGTTCTCGAGGACCGCCTGGGGCCTATCGGGCCGGCATCACCGACACTAGATCTTAAAACCCAAACCCTCTACTTACCTTTGCTTAGTAGGGAATGGAAGAATGGTAGTAATAGTAGTTATAATTGTACCGCATTCCTCCATTCCCTACTAACCGAAGGTAAGTCTAGGTGCATCTGCCTCGCCAGCCAATGCCTTGTCGTACAATTCACGGTCCTGCGCAGTGACTGCGAATTTGGGGGTATTCCGACTTTTGTAGCCTTTGAACTATATGAGCATTTACAGGCCCAATAGAGGTTGATAAGCGCAATAGCGGCAGCAAGACTACCGGCCAGCAAATACGACGAATTCTCGTAGAAGGGTCCTGCTCTACACTAATGTGTGTCTGTTTCTCTTCGAAGCCCCAAACTGTAAGCCCTCTCCCAAGATAGAAACAAAAATCAGTTCGGTCTATAACTTTCTCGCATAACCAGTGTGAACATAATATGGGGGCCTTAATGAGTAGAACAGGGTCTTGGGGCCCATTATACTACAATTCTAAGAAGGAACCCCCAAAATAGTATAGGTAACTATTAAGGCCCATATACTAAGTCCTTATAATATCCCTTGTAGTAGCCCTTCTAGGGCCCTGCAAAGGAACCCCAAAATAGTATAGGTCATTATTAAGGCCTCTATATTAATCCAAAGCAGAGCGCAGCAATCCTAGGTCCACCTCTTAAAAGGAGGCCCTTACAGGAGCCCTTAAAGGAACCCTTAAACAGACCCTTAACAGCCGATGAAGCCTCAACTTTGTGCAGTGTCTGCTCGGTCCTTACCGTTCTCCGCAGTTGCCACACTTCTACTGATCAGTATATGGTATCTTTTTTAACTAACTTCTGCTATACATGCAAACAGGCGCAAATACATAATAACTATCTGCGCCATGCCATGTACTGTATACAACCAGCAAAGAACAACAATTGTGTTTTCTTGACTACATTTCTTCTATACATTATCTGTGCCGTGTCCTGCATGCAACACGCCAAGATTCAAAGCTGCTATCGGTAAGATTCGCTCTTAGCTCCAAGTGAGCAACACTCGTAGAGCTGCGCTGCATATCGAACTACAGCTGAAAAACGGGTTCCTAAACGCTAAACCCTGTGCATCAGGCTTCAGCTTGGGACCCTCTGAAGTTCCTACATTACCCTTATAGTACCCCTGTAGATCCCTTGTAGTACCCTTATACATGCCTTATAGTACCCTTATAGACCCCTTCTTTGGCTGTATCACAGCACCACAGCCCTCTGTGTATTCAGCCCCGAGAATATCTTTTTCACGTCCGGCCATGCGCCCAAAGCTTGGGCAGCTGCGAGGGACACCTCTTGTGACCACCGGCAGAGTGGTGAAACAGCTGGGAAAGCAAAGGCGGTGTACAGGGTGTAGTGATCATACAGTAAGCAGTAGGATCCTTGTTAGAAGGGTACCTTATTTTGGGGTACTTATAATTAGGATCCTACTATTTAGGGTACTTTTTTTTAGGGTCCCCTATTTTCGGAACAGGGCTCAGCAAAAAGTGTTTAGAGTTTAGGGATTGGCCGGCCCGAGCTTCTGCGCTGTCTACTTGGCCACATCGATGTGTGTTTAAACCTAGGATACTTGGAGGGTCGGGGGACTTCGTAAGTAGTTATTTAGAGACTTATAAATACCATAACCCGAAATTGGGTCCCTTTTAAGGTACATAAAAGTCTACTTATAACCTACTTACTAAGTCCCCCGACCTTTCAGTACTGGGCCACTCTAGGCAGGTCGAGGTATGGTCTTCATCACCTTACAAACGCCAAAAACAAAATGAAGCTCTTGTCCTCTCTACTTTGCATTTAGGGCTTAGGTTTCAATCTCCGTAACCATGAGGATCTTGCATTTCCTAGAATCGCACTAGGTACGTGTATGTGCTTCTTGAGTTTTTAGTTCAGGGCCTAGGGATTGCACGGGCCTCAGCTTTTCGGCTCTAAGCTGGTCTTCTGCGTTGGCCACTCTTGGACCTGTGACGCTTCTGCAAGATTCTCTGCACATGCTCCGCCTTGCGTCCGCGCTCCTGGTCAGATCAGGGGTCTTCCGAGCACTGAAAGCACTTTAAAAGGGTTTAGGGTTCATGTCTAGCGTTTACGCTTCTAAACCACAAAATACGACATCATTTCTTGAATTCTCAAGCCCTGAACCCCAAACTCCCCTGAAGACACCCTGAGTGCTAAATCCTACGGCCCTGAAGTTCAATCGAAGGCGTGGCAGGCCGCCTTCTCTCCGAGTTTTTGGAGCCTCCGGTCGACTTTCAGCTTGTGTTGTGTTTTGTATACCTCGAGAACCAGGCCATCGTGATGGGGTTTCACAGTGTCCCTGGCGAAGTCTTTGCAACCGCTCATGAGTTGCTGCTTCTTCGACAGCATCGGGCGGGTTGAACCTCTTCACGGCTGTCAGCCATTTCTGAAGTTGAAGTCTTCGTCTGCTTGCTGGTGGTAGCCGGGGCTTGGCGTTGAGGGTGCAAGTACCCAGGGAAAGTTTTGGCTCGGGAATTAGGCTGGAGCTGCAAAGCCTCTCGAAAGTGTTCCTGAGTGAGATATTCTTAACACCAGCACGGGAACTTAGGAGAGATGTTAGCGGTCTACCTAGCCGTTTAGGGCTTGGCTTTTCGGACGTACGGTTTACGCTGGATACATGAAGCCTCAAGGATCTAAACTAAACTGTCCATGCTACCCTTCCATGACCCCAACATTGGTACTAGGCTTCCCCATAGCCACTCAATAGTAACGGTAACCTTCTTCCTACTACTCGATTCAATAAGGAGACACCCCAGAAAAGAGGGCAAAACAGCTTAAAGTAGCCCTTCTAGTATCCCTTATAGACCCCTTTAAAGGAACCCTACTCTATCCATAATGGACCCTGAACCCTAAAGGGTATTACTGGAAGATCTACGATGTTCGGTTCGGATCCCCGGGGGAAGTTCCTAAAGCCCAGAAAACACATCCCTCCGAACACCTCAGCTAGGTTCGGAAGCGCTCCAAACCCAAGACAGAGCCGTTTTTTGCCAAAAAACCGGTTTAGGGTTTGCGCTGATTGGCATGTTCTGTAATCCTCGGAGGAAAAAAACGAAAGACTTGTAAAGCGCAGTACAGCCTTCCAGATCTCAGGAAGGGCTTATTACTCTGAACCTCTCTCCCAGCACGAAACTTCGCAAAGAAGCCTCCCAAACTCTTAACCCGACAACTCTCAGGGTCTAGTGTTTAGGGTTTAGGGTTTCTCACTCCACCAAACCCTAAACCCAACAACTCGCAACATTCGCCCTCGTTTTCAGAGCCTCAGCACTGTATTCGTGGCGCGCTATCCTCAGTCACAGATTTCAGAACCCCGGAAGGATCTAGATATTAGAACCCCTAATTTGGGACCTAACTACCGTGGCGTACTTTATAGGATGAGGAGTCACTCATTTTATAATCAGGAAGCCGAGAAGGAAACCTAAATTGGCGAGTCCCACTGACTTACTGCCAGTGTGAACCCTGACAGGCTTGTCGGCTCAGTTACGGTGCTTCGAACCGTACCAGTGACCTGTTACAGTCTTGTGTCCTGCTTCCCAGAACCTGTAAATACGATAGAGGTTTCAATACTTAACCACAATCTACGCTTGAAGTCCGGCTATTGTTCTACTCTGATCTACCTGGTCCTTTTTGCTATGGCTCAGATGTAAGGGGATCCAAGACACAAGAAACCAAAACAACGCGAACTGCTGAGGAGCTTGCTAAACCCTGAACCCCGACCCACATCAATCCCAAGGGGTGCTCAGTGAGACAAGCGGGTAGGAGCGGAAGAGGTAGCGGACGCATCCAGGACGAGTATGTCTAACCCAACGTTCGGCGGTTCAGGATTTCGGGGTTTAAGGGCCCTGAAAAACCTTAAGCCCTAAACCCTTACCCCTAAACCCTCATTGAACCCGAACCCCCAACTCCGACAAATGTGACAGGTGCCGGGCATGAGGGCTCAGGTTTTTTCCAGCTTAAGGTTTCGGGTCCTTTGACGTTCAACTTACACCTAGAATTCTGGGAGGATGCAAAAGGTAGATCCTTTAAGGGGGTTATGGGGTCCCAGATTCGGGGGTTCTGCTTTCTAGATCTAGATGAATCCAGGGCTCTGGGTAAAACGTCTTGGGCTGAACGACACCTTTTGAGTTGTGGTTCTAATCTTCTCAGAAGACAGCTAGCAATGGCATTCCCTTAGAACTCCGCAAGAATTGGGGTATATTCCACCCAAACATTCTACTACGACCAATTCACCAAGCCCGGTGGCCTAGTCCCTACTCAAGTTCCAAGAAACCTCACGTTTCGCGCCCCTGCAAGCATCATTGCCGACCTGCACCATGCAAGTAGATCCCCCTGACCCCTGAACCCCTAGAGCCCGTGAACCCCGAAGCAATGAAAATGCAACCCCTCCGACATCTTGCCCAGCTGCTGCCGCATGTCAGCCATCCAGTTACCACCGACAATATCGATGACGCGGACCCTGCACACGAAGTTTAGTTGAGGGTGTAGGGCAGATCCGGAAAGCCAGAAGTATTTCATGGGGATAGTCACCTGTATTTACGAAATAAAGAATCTTGGCAACTTTTCATGCCGCCAATGTGTCCTTGAACCGTGCTCTCATTCCTCAGCAGAAATATGCTATAGGCAAAGTCCGAAGAATCCAACACCACTAAAACCAGCAGAACTCATCCTCACCCAGCTAAAAGTATACCTAGACTTTACCGGAGCCCTGTAGACCCACTTGAGGCACGAAGTATATACTGCATAGGTCCTAGTATACACTATTGTATATTACATTATTATGTAAGCCCTAAATCCAAAAAAACTTAACCCTGAGCAGCGATTCGTCTCTGCACGATAAAGCCTTAACTGTCCAGTTTCTATGACCCGCTCAATGGCAATTCGGGTTTAGAAGGGGTTGGGTTACTGTCTCGACTACTGAGAAACTGCGGCAACATCGACTCAAACGCTCGTGGAAAGGAGAACCACGCAGCTAATCGCCATACCCAAGGCCACCCTGGGAGCTTCCGAAAATTTGGGATCCTTAGAATAAGGATCCTACAACTTAGGCTACTATGTTTGGGTCCCCTACTTTCGGAAACTGCCACCTCCCAACTGCACGATCCGTTCCAGCGAGGCGCTCCTGTCTTGGAACAAAATGTATTTGCA